CATCAAAACTCTGCTTGTTGGGTGGAAAGTCAAACTCAACCATAGAATGGTATGTTCTAGTCTCGGGCAAAGAGCAAAATTAAAAAATCAGTGGTTTTAAAAATTCAATTCCATTGTTTAAATATTGCAGTGAGTAAATAGAACTTGTTTACGTCTAATTTTCCCTGAAAACATTAAGATGTTTATCTGATGTAATTTTAGAAACAGATTTTTATCCAATCAAAATCTCTGTGCGGGATCAGCACATACCGTTCCATGGTTGAGTCGACTTTTCCACTATGCAAGCAGAGTTTTGTCTCTGTTTACGGAGATAAACAAAAAGACAGACAAGCATGCTATGTATGGTTGTGTAGATAATTTATCATAGAAGAAAATCGTATTAAAGAGTTTGACAGTGCATTTCGTCTGAAAGTGTATATAAATGAATGCGTTTCTGAGGGAGGGGGCACAAAGTGTAATTTGGAGTAAGATACCTTGTGTTATTACATGTATACTGTGGGTTAAAAATTTAGTACTGAAACAAGTCCCAGACCCTTTGGGCAAAAAATATGAACAGAACATCTTGTGAAATACTCCAATAGATCATAATTAAATTGCTACAAACATTTAATACACAAAAAGTTAATCCACAGACATACGAAAGGTAAAACTTTACTGAAAAATATGTATATTAAATAAATATTTACCCAAACAAAAGTGATGCAGCCACAATATGACGTTAGTACCCATTGAACACTGACAAAACTCCTCCTCTACAATCAGCTGATAAAAACATTATTGTCCTCGGATTCGAGAAAATTCTGTTAACAAATTAAGGCAAAAGATGATTACAAAACTATTTCATTCGGTTGAGAATAAAACACCTAATCTACCCTCAAAATAAACAAGAAACGGATGACACTCTGATTTGTTTACCTGTACTTCGATCGAACCCAAGGTGGACGCTCGCACCCAAGTTTTTATGGTATGACGTCGTAAGTCGATAACTATTTAACTTTCCCCCGAAAGCTTTGCGTAAACCAGAAACATGCTGAACTCGATAACAGAACTCCACGTGTTAGGTACCCCGGAAGTGAGGTACCCCGCAAGTTACGTGACAAGCACTTTCAGACCCTGGACCGAATTTTCTCAGGTTTTGAAATACTTCCGGTAAAGGGAGAAGTAATTTCAAATGGAATTTAAATAAAAATAATGAAGAGAGATATCTCTTTGCAATAAAGAGATATCTCTTTTTGCTTGAGAGATATCTCTTGTAGACACTTTTGAGAGATATCTCTTTCACTTTGAGAGACATCTCTTAAAATAAACTTAGAGAGATATCTCTTTTACTTAAAGAGATATCTCTCAAAGTGAAAGAGATATCTCTCTAGGTGAAAGAGATATCTCTTTAGGTGAAAGAGATATCTCTTTAACGTTCAGAGATATCTCTTTTCACGAAAGAGATATCTCTCAAGGAGAAAGAGATATCTCTTAAAGTAAAAGAGATATCTCTCTAAGTATAAGAGATATCTCTCTAACTTTAAGAGATATCTCTTTCTTATAGAGATATCTCTTAGAAATAAGAGATATCTCTTTAAGTTGAGAGATATCTTTATTTTTTAAGAGATATCTCTCTAAAATGAGAGATATCTCTGTAATTTGAAGAAAAAATTTATTTTCCGAATAAATAGTAAAAGGGCTTGCCATATAATAACGATGAAAAAGATAAAATAATAAACAATATGGATATTTTTCAATTACTGGATGTACAATAAACTTCTGATGATGTGAATCAAGTTATGAAGACTATAATTAGCCTAAAACAGCACTTACCGTTTTAACCCGAAATTCCTTTGGATTAATGTAATCTAAAACAGGCGATTCCACCGCTTTTGACTTCAAATATTGTAAGAACTTATGAAATAGTTAGATTATTCTCAGCAGCGATCATTTTTCTTTCACTATTAGTATATACAGATATTTCCTGAACTGGACTGCTAAACGTGAATGTAAACATTCAAATGTTGGAGCGAGGTAAACTAACTTTGACCAAACAATTTCTAGGTCATTGCGCGTCACAATATAGCATTACGGCGGTACGTTCGGGAAATAAATGCAATTTTACTTGGAAATTTATTCGCATCTCAAAGGTAAATATTAGTAATAAACAACAATGTTAAAAAGTTCTCTGGGAAATGAGCTTTTAGTTGGTTCGTGATCAAATCTACTGAGAAGCCCTTCGGGCTTCACAGGATTTGATGACGTGACGAACTAAAAGTTCTTTATTTCAAATAATAATAGTCGTTTACAGATTTTTGATATTGATCAAAGCGCCCCCTTTATTTAACTTTATAGGAAATGAGCTACAATACTCTCCCCATGTATTGGTCAAAGCGCACCTAGTTCTTACTACCAATTTCCGGCAGTAGCTATGTTCAACATTCATGACCACTGAGCAATAGTCTTTTTTTGAGCCAGCAACTACTGCGTCCCGGGACTTCGGTTTTTAAAAATTTCATCTGAAGGACTGGTCTCCATTTCCCGCAGTGAGATTCAAATCTGCGATGTAAGATTCACCTTTTTACCTAACGATTCTAGAGCAAACGCTCTTACTACTAGAGCTGCTCCACGCGGACGATTAGTAATACGGGTTTAACATAGAAAAGACTCAAAATATATTTCTAAAAAAATTCTTGATTTAACAAATTTCACGAGTGACATACTTTAACTAAGAAAATTAAATTTGGGGAGACAATTATTGACTTTTCAACTACAACCATTCCCCACGATAAATTTAAGTCCAGGTTTTTTGATATCACTGACAGTTGCTTTTTCAATAAAAATGGAACTAATTTGCTTACCTTCTCATTGGTCATTTGCAAAACTATTTTGTTAAACAACATTCTGATTGTTTTCACAAATACTCTGAACTGGACATAAAAAATGCTTGAGTTTCTGATAGACAATATCTATGTGGTTTTTGGAGATCACGTATTCCAACAATTTATTGGAATTACCATGGGTACCAATTGCGCCCCGTGAGCAGACCTATTTTTGTATTCATATGAAGCAGAATTTGTCCAAAAGAAGAAAACACGAAAACACTTGCTGTGGCCTTCAACTCGACATTTAGATATATCGACAACATATTGTCAATTAACAATGGTAATTTCCATTCTTATGTCAATACGATATATCCCGGTGAGCTTGAGATTAAAGATACCACAGAGTCTGACACATCTGTTCATATTTGGATATTTTACTTGAAAAAGACGTTAATGTTAATTTAACAACCAAGCCCTATGATAAACGTGCTGATTTTCACTTTTCAATCTTTAACTTCCCTTAGTAATTCAGCACTATACCTTCATCACCTGCAAACGGAGTTAATATCTGGCAGTTGATTAGATGCGCAAGAGCATGCTAGATACGAATGTACAATTTCTAATACGAGCAAAAACAATTTATCATTGAGTCAAATGCTGACCGACGTTTTTCATACTAATTGTCAGGCTATTATATACACACTGAATTGATAACGGATATTTCCGTTATTTCCCACTCATGACAAGGAGCAAACGGCAGGTGTGACCGGTCGGCAGGGGATGCTCACTCTTCAATGTTACCTGATCCCACCTCTGATGTTTTGGAGGTCCGTATTTGCTCTGCTCTTATTTTGTGTTGTTTTATGGACTTTTGAGCTTGAATAATGTTCGTTATCTCCATATAATTCATCCACATTACAATAAATGCGTAAGATTAATCAGATGAATTTGAACCACTTGCGTTTTCAATTTCCATTTAACTAACTCTGGTCACTAATCTGAGCGTTTTGCTAGAAAGGGAGCAGATTTTTCAGATTCAATGCGTATGAAATACATACATTTTATACTTAAATCAGCACGATTTCTGGATAATTCAGCTAGAGCATTGATACTTTGTTCACAACTGTTTCTGGGTTATAGAAAAAAAATTAATTAATATCTGAGACAGGAGGAATTCAGTGACTGGACAATTTATCAAGAGATGCAAAATACGATATCATTTTGAACAAAAGCAAAATTTTCATCCTTTTTTCTATAAATAAAAAAGGATTTAAAAGGATGAAAATTTTATCTTTTTTCTGTAAATAAAAGTCACCCTCGTGACTCAGTGGTTAGAGCATCTGCTCTAGAATCGCGAAGTAAGGAGTTCCGTGTCGCAATAGGTGCCGGCACGAAAAAGATCCCTCATTGCTCAATGACCCTGAGTGCCGAGTATAGGGTAACATTTGTAGCTCTCCAACGGCAAGTGTTGCTACGTCTCCGTATGAGTGAAAAATTCTCGACAGGGACGTTAAACAACATGCAATCAATTAAACAATCAATCTATATATAAGACATATAGTAGAAAGATACATAGGTAGAAGATCCCAAATAAAACGAAAAAGCATTGGGCATTTCTGTCAAAATATGTACATGTTTTTATCTCGAAACTTGTTTATGAGTAAAAAGCTTTCTTTTGTACAAGCTTCTTTCCTCTTCACTGGTATTTTGGGACATTTGTTTCTTAATTACAAACAATGACCTTTTAAATGATATTTCGCCTGACTTACATAAATAGTTTTGTTATCCATTATCTTTTTATCAATGTAACTTCTTTTACGGGAATGTTTCAAATTCGAGTTTCTGATTAAAATTTCGTCTTTTGAAAGGAATCTACATGTACGAGTTGGATCACCTCATATAGAATTAAAACCATCCTTCTACACTGCTATGATAATAACAAGATTTACAAATAATGTTGAAAAATTCATTTTGTTTTATATTATTAAATTTTAGATATTTTAACCTTCATTTTTTTTTATCCGACAAGTGTCACTTACACTTCAGCTGTTTTTATCATTGTCAATCAAAGTGAAGCAGCACGTGATCTTTCTTCATCCCCCTACATTTCAGCCTGTCGACTTTCACCCCTCAACGGAGGACACGATCCAAATGAGAACTATTGTTAAGTAGTGCACTTCAACTACAAGCTTATATTATCAACAGAAAGACAAAACTATTAAAATTCGGGACATTTATTTTAAGAACTTTGAATTCACTTGCAAATATGAGAGAAGATATTTTGATATCGGTAGTAACATTGGTCAGTGGAACTGCTTCTGTTCTCGGAGGAGTGACCCTCATTTTGTCACATACTTTCATCAAACGCTTCTATTTCGTTCGTATTCTGTTGATATACCTTTCATTTGCAGACATTTTGCAAGCGGGTGGAGCAGTTTTTGGAACCGCAAACTATCTGACATTAAGTGAACAAAAGAGAATGGATACAGATTCACTTTGCATTGTACAGAGTTTTATAACAACATTTTCTAGCGTTTCGTCATTTATTTGGACTTCTGTGATTACAATTCATCTCTTTTTTTGTTTAATGAAACAAATTACGAGGATTTCGAAGTACATCATCTTTTTATATCACGTTGCAGGATGGATAGTCCCAGGCAAGTCTTCAGATTTTATTTATTCGAAGAAAACTTTGTGTAAATAAAAATAAATGTACGAAACAATATTCAATTTCAAATGCTTTTCAATATTTTGTCTCTTGAAAACGTGGTATCACATAAAATCGATATTTGTTTTGAAAACTTGAACTTGTTACATTGATTATTGGCATGATTATTTTAAAAATTACTTGTAAAGCTAAAACAATTCATTTTTTATCTTTAACGCTGCATTTTGTTCCTTTTATTCACAGTGATTATTTCTATTGTTGCCCTTATATGTGGGAAGCTTGGACGTGGGACTTTCAATAGGGGTACCAAAGACCATGCAATGATAGGCAGTGGTCAGTGGTGCTGGATTAAGGTGAATGCAACCAATATCACCTCTGCAGATACAACATTCATGTTCCTCGCTGGGAAGGGGTGGGAGTTTGCAACATATCTAATAGCAGGAACGCTATATATTATACTTATGGTGGAAAATTTTCGACGGGTAAGAAATATTCGAAATGTTCTTGTACATTAGATTAAAGATATCATGTTTAAACTTACTGATAATATATTAACTTGTTGTTTCCTGTTGAAAGATAACTTAATTTCTTACACGTAGAGAAGGCGCAATATTCCTAGCCTTTGGAATTCACATATCGTAGAGGAAGATGATGAACGGTTTTGTTATACGCCTTTCATACTGTATCTTCTCAGGATCTGGGGATCAACGAGATTCATCTTCACCATAATCGGAGCCTATACTAACCAAACTGTAAACAAAGTCGACTCCGTTCTGGTGTACTTTCATTGCATAGGAGACAGTTCCCAAGGCTTTGCAAATTTTCTTCTTTTTTGTGTGTTTGATAAAGGTTTCCGAAAAAATATCTATCAAAGGTTTTATAAAGAAGAGACAACACCTCTGATACCCTATGCAGAGAAATAGGATTTTGAAGCAAAAAGTTGATGTTTATGTGCTCTTTGTGTCACCAAAAAATGCAAAAATGTATCATTTTAGTCAAGCAATTATCTTGCCCATAGGGTGTCCTTGAAATCCTTTATTAATTACTACTTGCTTGATATCAAATTTTTAAAATTAATTATTTATTACAATAAAGATGTGTACTTCGTTCGTTTTCTGTGTGTGTCTTGGGGGGCATACAGTATTTCCAGAGCATCAAAATAAAAAAAACAAAATAAATTAATTATATATATTTAAAGTATTTTTTACTGTTTTCATTAAAAACTTATCATATTTACGTTACACACTGACAATTATATTACATGAATATTGCATGTAGTTGAGTGTAACATTGAAAATTTTCACCCCAAGAAAACCATTGTCAACCGAGGCGCAGGTTGACAATGGTTTTCTTGGGGTGAAAATTTTCAATGTTACACTCAGCTACATGCAATATTTATTATATTATACTGAATGTTTTATACAAATACATATAATAGTGAACCGTGCGCGCATAAATTCTGCGCAGTCGCTATTTTTTTGGAATATCACCCGTCGTCAAGCACTCTTGACTGTTGCTACGCTGGAAGTCGTGGCTTCATTATTCAGCGGGTAATAGTGTTTTTTAACAAATGTTTCTCGACCAATCAGATTCAATTAATTTACATGAAAGTATAATATAATGTATTATTATTTTAATTATTACTACACGTTTTATTACAAGCCCTCATGTACGAGGGCCGTTCAAAAATTACGCGGACTTGTTGCACAGAAGAAATATTTGACGACATCATCGGGCAAAATGTCACACATAATATAAAAGAATCTTTACTTATATGGTCTTCAAACATTCATATCAAAATTTTCTAAATTGATATCAATTTTGAGTGATTTTCAGGACATATTATTAAGTCAGGAGCAGCAAAATCTTCTACGTCACAGGCATTATACAACAATATGTGATTGAGCTTTCATTTTCTCAACATTTTCCCAGGAGTACCTGTACAGTTTGAGTTATCTTATCTACTCAACATCCAAACACCATTTCTTGTCAAAATTAAAATCTATTAAACAAGTTTAACATATTCTTTTTTTGTTTTAAAACCAAAAACTGCAGGTATTTTTTAGATATAGTATGATATTGGTGACTCTCAATCACGTTCTTTACAGTCCTTAAAAAGTTTTCGTCGAAAATCTTTCCGTCCTCACGTATAGCCTTTTTTACAGAGGTCTAACAGTATAAAATTTCAGTTTCCTATTTGTGGACGAATGTAACGAATACCCTAGTTTATTACATGTTTTATTATGCATATTTTGGATCTATGTTGGCGATATCTCGAGCATTACACAGAATTTAACGAAAGTGTGGTGCGCCGTCAACTCAGGAGACGTCATTTTCACAGACGTTTTCACGGAAATCGCATCAGAGAAAAATTACTATATTTCTGTTAATACTTCAAATATCACGTCAGATATCTAATTACGTAATAATAGAACAATTTAAAGATACATATGAGAAAATTGTCGAAAAATATCGCGAATTGTAGAAAATTAATGAGTTAAATTTTGGATTCCGCATGCTTTTGCTTCAAATTTTTTGTCGTGCTCCGTATACCTCTCCATCAGCAATAATTTTGGTAGAATTTTTTTAAAATGCAGAAATTTTGCCCAAAATTTATTGGAAGCTTTAAGATACATATTTCTGTGAAATTTCATAACTTTATGACGTCTGAAAGAGTAAATAATAGCACAGTCCGCGTAACTTTTAAACGGCCCTCGTAGTGTGTAATTTGTTCAATTTGACCATGTTCTGCCATACTTACAAATCTTAAAATAGTAATGTCAACGAAATTCATGAGCATAATAGGATACATTATTAATCATTTATCAGTTTTATATGAACAGATAACAAGGGAGATAAGATGCTCAGGTGTGCTTATTTATTGGACAGTAACTATCCAATAGGAGTACTAAAGTACTATCAAGACTAATAATAGCAACATACAGGCATAATTTTTGACATATATTTAACATGACACATTTTACATTGTTTTAAATATATATTTTGGCCCCTAATTGAATACATTTTTTTCTAAAATAGGACAAATTTTACGATTTAAAAGTAATTTGATAATTTTTTTTTTCATAGATATCAAATTTTAAAATATTTGAAGCACAAAACAATTCAATTTACTTTTATATATTTTTGAGAATCTAATCAATTATGGCTCCAACATGTAACGGATAAGCTTTATCTTATCTACAAAAAAGAGAATGTTCTGATGCAGGCTACTTAATATATGGACCAGTTCGTGCGGTTTGAATTTACTCGTCAATATGAGAGAGGATATTTTGATTTCTGTGGTTACTTTGGTCAGTGGATTTGCCTCTATTCTTGGAGGAGTTGCGCTCATTTTGTCACATATCTTCGTTAGACGTTTATATTTTGTTCGGGTTTTGTTAATATGTCTCACATTTGCCGACATTTTACAAGCAAGTGGAGCAGTTTTAGGAACCACAAACTATCTGACATTAAGTGAACAGAAGAGGAAAGACTCCAATTCATTCTGCGTCGTTCAAAGTTTTATAACAACTTTTTCCAGTGTTTCGTCATTTATTTGGACAACTGTGATAACAATTCATCTCTTTTACTGTTTCATGAAACAAATTAGTGAGACAAAGAACTACACCATCTTTCTTTACCATGTTGCAGGATGGCTTGTACCAGGCAAGACTTCAAAATTTTAAGATAAGATTTAATTATCTTGTATGTCTTCTCTACAAGTGCTGAAGCAAATCTTAGTTATTTGAAAGAAAATTTGAGATAGAACATTTCGATTTTCATTATCTTGATTTTTCTTGGCTAGTTTTCTTTTTTCTCTCTCTCTTTTTACAAACAGCTTTCATTTCTGTTGTTGCTCTTGAGTCTGACAAACTCGGACGCGGAACTTTTAATAGCGGTGCCAAAGACCATGACCCCGGGATGATATCTAGTGGTCAGTGGTGTTGGGTTAAGGTGAATGCAACCGAGATCACCTCCACAGATATAGCCTTTATGTTCCTTGCTGGGAAAGGATGGGAATTTGCAACATATCTAATAGCAGGAGCATTTTATATAATACTAATGGTGAATAATTATCTAAGGGTAAGAAAATTTCGACATTTAACCAAAATGCCGATTTCTATGGGCTTTAAAATGTAGACGTGAGATTACTTGCTTTTTTTGTTTAACGTCCATCAATATATTTTCCCTCCTATCGCCTTCTTATAGAAGCTTGATCAAATTTCAAATAGTACATTCATAGTTATATATACTAACAATCGTCATGCGTTATTCGGATGATAATAATTTTATATTTCTGACATAGATTTTGGTTTGTTTCCAGAGAAGACGGGAAGATCCTAGCCTTTGGAATTCAGATATAGTAAGGGCAGATGATGAACGGTTTTGTTATACGCCTTTTATACTATACCTACTCAGGATCTGGGGATCAACGAGATTCATCTTCACTATAATTGGAGCCTATAAAAACCAAACTGTAGACAAAGTCGACTCCGTTCTGGTGTATTTTCATTGCATAGGAGACAGTTCACAAGCATTTGCAAATTTTCTTCTTTTTTGTGTTTTTGACAAAGATTTTCGGAAAGAAATTTATCGTGGATGTAATAGTCGAAATAACAACGAAGAGGGGACGCCCTTGTTATCCTGCGAAGATCAAGAAGATGAAACAAACATTTGATATTTCAATAGTGTTTATATCGAAAAAAAATTATGAAATCACGCCTTTTCAGCATATAACTTATAAAACTGTTTTCTTATTCTAGTTTCATCTCCGATATAGACATTTGAAAATGTTGAGATATTGGCCTTCGAAAAGGAGAGATCAAGAAATTCAATATATATTTTAATTTCTATGTAATGTTAGTAAAGGAAAGTGCTTCACGGGAAACTTCATGGGGGTTACAGACTTAGATCTCCTATTATTGAATAAAATATATAGTTAATAACTCAAACTGAAAAGAGAATCAGGTAAAAATGAAAATATATGGAATAACCGTTGGGATTTTTTAAGAAAATGATGTAACAGTTTGCTCAAGTTTGAAAAATTATGCAAAACGCATGACTTTAATTCAAATTATCATTTTAGCAAAGTGCTTGATCACTTGATAAAAAAACCTCCTTGAATATTCTTTGAATATAAGTTTCATCATTACACTTTATGGTACTACGATCCTTAGCCAGAAAGGATAACACTTTTATTTATTATTTAATTTATAAAGTTTCAAAAGGAAGGTTGAGAATTTAATCTTTACATGCAACAATTTCCGTTCTATACCTCTCAGTGTGCTTCAAGATTCTTTGAACTTGTCAGAATGATCTTATAAAAAGTCAAAATTTTTATCCCAATTTTTATATTATAAGGACACTATGATACATATAATGTAAACCAACTTATTCGCGACGACTTCATTTCGCGATTTATCAGGGATAAACAAGTTGGCAATGATTGATTTTCGCGAACAGGCCTTTTTGGATCTGTTGTTAATAGACAAATAAATTTTAAGGGCAAAAATTCCTCGCACGCGAATAAAAGTTGGTTTACAGTATATCCTAACTACCTGTAGTTTTCTTTTCATCTTTGTCGCCTAAAGAGTTATTCACAAGTTTTCTTATATATTAAAAAAAAAAACATACCTGACACCGATGAAGTGCAGAGCTACCGTTTTGCTACTTTACTATACTTTTATCTCTTTTTTAACTATAAATCGATATTCAAATTAAGTCGCTCTACGTTTATACATGTAATTAATGTAGGTACAGATGGAATTAATTATAAAATGCAATAGAAAATTAAAAGAAAATGTTCAGAAATAAACACTCAAGCGAATATAGTGTGCTTTGGAGAGCCCCTACAACATAATTCCACTTATAAAAAATCATATTTCCCCTCATTTTCACATTCCAGATAAGTTATTTTTATAGCCTTTAACGTTTTTTTTTTCATTTCACCCCAGATTTTTATTTATCATTTCATTTTTGTGAATGCAAAATGTCATTTTCAAAAGGAATGAAAGATAAATAAAATCAAGAAGAAAGATAGTAATATTCAGTGAAAAACTTAAGTCATCTTCAAAAAAACTATTTTAACATGCAAATGTTATCTTCTTTTTAATGTAATTTTCTTTTTACAAAAATACCCAAAGTACATTAAAATAACTTAGTGTTTGAAAGAAAAAAAAATATACACTCTTGTCAACTGAAAAGTTATTTTCAATAATTGAATATTGGCCTTAAGATTACGGTCCACTTTGGATATAACTTCAGGTTAAGATCAGAAAGTGTGGAAGAACTACAAGTAATATATTTTCAACCCTCATATTTCCAAAATATTTTATTTTGTTATTGCTATATTAATATTTGAAGACAGCTCACAAGGAATAAAGGAGAAATCCGGAGAAAGAATTCCACGGTCCTCGAATGTCTGCGGTCGTTCCATACACGTAGGACACAGCTAGCCAGACTTTGACCCCCCCCCCCCCTCTCTAACATCACGACCGCCATATTGGATCCCACACCGTGGATATTTTCAAATTTGCTTGCACTGTAAATATATGCGATGACATAATTATTGCGCATGATATTCACATCCAGCAACCTTTCTGGCATTGTGAGAATGTTCACTAGAAACACATATAGCCCTCTGATTGGAGCAATGAAGATTCATTGTTTATGGTCATATCCACCACCTATATTCGTCAATATGGAATTAAAGATAATGGCCTGATCCTCCGAAAACGTTCGAGTTCCGTCTAACAGTGCTGTAAATCCCACTGAATGTTTTGCTGTACCTAGTTATGTAGAAGGAAAAAATACTCTATGACATGCAAGAAATTGCCAGTAAATAATATTACTAGTATTCCGTCTTTCTCAGGAAAGAAGGAAAGGAAGTTGCAATATACAGGAAGTAATTGTAATTTGTAAGAATTGGAAGAGAGGGTGTTGATATGTACAATCCCTTAAATGTGTAATTTGTTGAGATGTACATATATACATTATATGTTTTTTTCTTCTTTTGGTGATTTCGTTGAAATTTGTAAAATGACTTTTGTTGGGTTAGATATTTTTCATTTAGATTTGAAGTTGCAGAAAAAATTACTTCTATTCTTGGTGTATACTTAGGAAAATTCAGTAAGTTTTTTTTATCAACTGACTCACCTGAATATAAAGATAGTGAAAAACTTTTATCGCATCCACAATCACCGCCAGTATTGTAAAATAATCTTTGTCCCCTGGATATTCCCAGAAACAGCCAAAAAGCGGGAAAAACACATTCTCGGAATAAAATCATAATTTTACTGAGAACTCGAGAAAAAACACGTGTTGTTTCACTTTTTTGTGTTTATTTAGATAGATGCCGACAGGCTGATTTTATTGTTTCAGCTTTAAAATTTAGATTAGGTATTTTTCAGGGCTTTTTTTATGTACAAAGTAACAGTCATTAGATTTCTCACTACTTCCTCAAATCTTAAAGTAGTTGAATGTCACGTCTTTAAAGAGATGCATTTTTCTAATTGCTGTTAACAAGTGGTTTCTCATGTGGCTGGTAATACGAAGATAAAAGACAATACTATTCACGGGGGTTGTGAGTGGAAATTGAACTGGGAAAACCTAGGTACCAAAAATCATAACCATTTGAGAAAAATTGTATGCGAGTAGATTTGCTCAAAATTGTGTTCTTGCTTTTTAAGAAGTCTATTTTAGGTCTGAAAGACAAAAAATCAGATAAACAAGATACATGCATTGTAAATTGAAAAAGAAAGTTTTAAAATTATAAGTGGATTGAATTTGTTTATTGAAAACAGACAGAAATTGTAAGGTAAAAACCTTTGCTTAATATAAAAGATTATTCAGTTGTATTTAATCCTTCTAATGAGGTCATCAAAATTAAAAGTGTTACATCACTTTTTAATTCTTTGTAGAAAAATGAAAGACCAAGGTAAAAATCTCATGTCGACTTCGTTAAAAAATGATTCTCTTCTTTACATCTTTCTGCAAAAGAAAAGACATATAGGTCAAACAATAAATTGTCTCATAATCATTATCATTATCATCGATTAAAATAATAATAGCTTTAATTTTCTTTCGAACGTTGTAGTACTTTGAGATAAAGTACTAGGAATATGTCCGTTTATTGAATGAAATATGTGGAGATAACGAATATTATTCAAGCCCAAAAGTCCATTTAACATTTCGAATAGGATCGGAGTAAACACGGATCTCCAAAACAACAGAGGTTGTATCAGGTACCATGGAGGAGTGAGCATCCAGTGTCAATCTGGCACAACCGACGTGTGTTCCTTGTCATGTTTGGGGAAAAGTTGGAAAAATCCTTCGACAGCTCAGTGTGTAAATAAAGGCCTAAGAATCAGTGTGAAGAAAGTCAATCAGTATTTGACTTATTGATAATTTGTATTTGCTGAAAAGGCCATGGTATCGACCATAGAACTTATGAAATGATGCTTTAAACAAGACTGCTGATATTCTTGCTTCATCAACTTGTTTTGCAATAACTTACTTCATAGTAGAAATTGTCCATACGTAGAATTTGCTCTTCGATATCATATCAACTGAGAGATTTAAACTTCGTATGCAGGTAACAAAAGTATATATTGCTGCATAAGTACGGAAAGTTGACGATTGAAAAGTTGAAGTCATCATGTTTATCATAAAGCTTTGTTGTTAGATAACCATTAACACATTTTTCTAGTAAAATATCCAGATATAAAACAGATGTTTCAGTCTCTGTGGTATCTTTTATCTCAAGCTCACTGGGATATATCGAGTATAAGAATGGAAATAACTATTGTTAATTGAAAATACGTCGTCAATATGAATATGCAAGCATTTTCTTCTTTTCACGTAAAAGATTTTGATCAAATTCTGCTTAATATGAATACAAAAATAGGTCCGCTATTAACATAACGGGGCGCAATGGGTACCCATGGGAATTCTAATAGATTGTTGGAATCACATAGATATTATCATTCAGAAACTTGAGCAACTTTTAAACATCAACTTCAGAGTACTTGTGAGTACAATCAGATTATTTTTTAACAAAATTATTTTGCAAATGACCAATGACAATGAAAAAAGATAAAACCCAATAAGAATGAGAAAAATTGGATATTTTACCTAATGCTGACCTTTTTCTGGTCAGTGTAAATGCCATCATTCGCAAACAATGGTTATCTTGTATATTTAATGAAATATTTACCTCTTTCTCACATATAAACTTGTAGGCTATGGTGCATTTGGCGTCGTTCCAGTGGTAATCAGAGTTGGGATTGATGTGAACGCAATCCTCCCCTCCCCTGTCATTGTTTGGCTCCCCTTCCACCCAATCAGCGAACGTAAACGTCATCTGTGACGTCATCCAATACCACTGACCCTCTATGATAGCGTCAGACCCTCCAATCCACATACATTCTGCGAAAGCATTGCTACTTGTACTTTGTTGATATTATTGCGTTATATTGAGTATAAGTATATCCTTTCTTCAATAAGGCAATGTTTTTTATTTCCTATGAAATCAGGTTGCATGTACAATAAACAAGTTTTTAGAACCAGTTTTAAGGTCAATTTGAAATAATCTCTTCTATGCAGGTGATGCACATAAGGACAAAATTACAACTGTATTAAATTAAGTATCGTAATCCATTTATTAAAATATAAATATAAGTAATAATTTAAAGGGGTCTTTGATTTTTGATGAAATTAACCGTAATTGCAATCATGGCTGTAAAAAAAAAATTACATTACCCTCTTACGTGGGTCGTGTACATGTACTTTCACAAAAAAGGCTTTTTTTTATAATTAACTCTCTTTGTGTACAAGACCGTGTTTAATTCTTTAAGATACAATATCAACTTGTGATCTAAAAGGAAGATTTGTTCATTATTCTCTTTACAGAAGCCCCGACCTTTCGAGAGTACTCTTATTTCAGTAGATATTCACGCAAGTGGTTTTGCAAGTAACTGATTACGTGACTTACTGCGTTTTTAAATTGTGTTTTCTCTACCTTTTACGTTCCAGAAGGTTCCAGAAATATTTGTTTGGTATTTTTTTCTATATAAATCTACTACCTGGCGATTTTAGGTCTTTCATGTGTTGAACTATGAAGTTTCTTTCTTTCTCAGTCTCGATTTCCGCCAACTTTGCATTCAGATCATAACATTGATGCTGCAACCAAACCAACAAGACCCATATTATTGCAACATATATCAAATAAAAATTTTGTAGAAAGGTGTCTATTACGTATAATATACAGGTAACGATATGCGTGTATTAGAATCTATATTTTATAAAACATTCTTGTAGGCTTTAAAATGCAAAAGTTGATACTAAAGTATTTTAATTTGTGCCCATTTCTTGTTCACTAACTAGTATACTAGCGGTATACATAATAAAATTTTACTTACTAGTACTTTATCTTTAATTTATTTTAAAAACTCATTCGAATTTTTAACTGCATTCAAGATGAAATGAAAATATGTAGGGGGGACTTTGAAATGTGGTTCAACTTCTATACAAAGTCATGTGTGTTTTCCTTGACCATTGAAAATGGCTCGTTACACAGAGACAAGTTTTTGATTTTCCTGGGAATCATCATTGTAATTAACAGAATTTGTTCATAGTTCTGTAGCAAGTGATGGTGGTTGTAGAGGAACGATGAATCTCATCAGATCAGTTCATAAATACTTAACTTGGTTCAAACTCGGAGAAAGACGATATCTATTCACGGTATTCTTAAACTGCAAAACTTGTAAATACATTACTAAACTAAAACCTAAGAATCTAATTCAGATTTTGTCTTTCCCATTGGCATCTGTTGCAAAGACAATACAGATTTAGCTCTTTCACACTTTTGTAATGACACAGTAATTTTCGATCCAAATGCACGAGCTTAATAACTATGTCTAAAGAATGATATTTTTAACGATGATGGAAATCAGTATTGGTAATTTAAATGAAAAAGGCAACTAAAAGAGGTATAAACAGAGAGAAATCATTGACCAATACTAACAAAATCATGCAACAATACAGCTGATTGCAAATTTCTTAAAGTTTTAATCATTCTTTCATTTATGTGAATAAAAATAGTCGCCTGGCGGACAAAACAGTTTTTAATCAGTCTTATATCTTTTATATCTGTCTGCCTATACCACTCAGTCTGCTCCTTGTTAAGATCAGGAAAACGGAAAAAAAAAAATCGTAGACAATTCAGTTTGAAAATAATGGCCTAACAATTAGTATGATAAACGTCAGTCAGCATTTCATTTTGATAGATAGTTTTTGTTGACATTGTCATCGTATCGACTAAATCTTACAAAATGATTACTTTAAACGACACTGTTGATATTCTTGTTTCATTTACTTTTGTTTATCAATATATAGCTTGTCTTGTTTCAGCAATTAGTACGTAGAGCATGGACTAACTGAGAGTCATGATTCCTAGTTATAGGTGTACTAGTATATTTTAAGATACAGATGTATTTGAGTAAGGGAAGTTGAAAGTTAGTCATCACGTTTATCGTAGTTTAGTTTTCAGGATACATTAACGGTCTTTAGCAAAATATCCAAATATGAAACAGATCTTAAAAATCTATGATGACTTTTATTTCAAGTTCTTTTCAAATTAAAGGCCACGACAAATGGTCTCTATGTATCAGTTCTTATGTATCAGTTTTTATGTATCAGTTTTCGTATAAATGTATAAATTTTGCTTCAGAAAAATACCAGGGCGCAATATAACTGTAAAAAATATGTACATGAATCTTTTCAAATTAAAGGTAGGCGTTTCTTATGCAAATGACAAATGGTCTGCTATCAACGATACAGTACGGTTTATTTTTAGCTTGTATTCGTATACAGACATACCAGTATGCCATATCAGAGGTTCTTAAAAATAAAATTTTACAACATAAGTATCGGAGGAGGGAGTTTTCGTCGTATAGATTTATAAATTATGTGTCATTTAAAAAACTTGTTGATGAATTAAAAACCGTATGTATACAAGTTTAGAAAAAAAAAATTTAAGAAAGCAAAAAAACTTTTGGGGGCAGTTTGGTTACTCTACATTTTAATGAAAACGTGAAGGTAAAATACCCCCCCCCCCTTTTTTTCCTTTCATCTGCTTATTTCAATTTTGTATATGACGACCGGTATAGGACATTGTCGGACATTTCTCTCAGAATCTACGATCTCCCGAAGCATTTTTGTTTCAAAAATATTCCCACATGATTCTTATATATCAAAATGTTTTGCATTAAATCGTAGTTAAACTTAGCAAGAGCTTGCGCAATCAAATCTAAATAAAATTTTGGGAAAACAAATTAATTTATGCATATTTTAAAATGATAATGCACATCCATCTCACTCGGCATTTCAGTTGAGAATGCTTAAAATTGGATACAAATCAACTTTCTAAAAATCATCTGATTGGTTGGGAGGTATACACCCAAATACGCATGTAAATTATAGGTCCTTAGAAAGGTCATGTCACAAGTGTAAAAAATATGCATAATAAAACTTTTGGGTCAGAGTTGGTTAGTTTTCAGTGTCGTATAATAGTACTTTTCAAATATATCATGCTATTTCGAAACTGAAAGTTCAATCACTGGATATTTTTAAGATCAATAAAATCTGTTACGCATATCTAAAAAAAATGTAAGAGGGGTAATTTCAATTCAAAAAGCGCCAAACATCTTTAAAAATGGCCTTTGACTGACCATCGCTGCTGGCATGGTTGCTACTGTATGGATCACTACGTAGCAAGAAGGACCAAAGGACACCCATCCATCTGGACAAGACTTATTTCCTGAGCTGTCGGAAACTGTTAAAGTAGAACACTATTCAATCTTTGTAGGTTACTTTTACATATATAGAAATTGTCAAGTGCATTATTTTGCAAAAAAAAAAAATCATACCAATGCTTTAAAAAACTTCTGTCCAAAAAATTAGATTAGTGAAAGTAGTTCTACCTTACCGTCAATCTTTTCGCCTTTCCGGGATACTTTGGTTTTATAAGCTTCCTCGAGGTGGTAAATCAGATCCTCGTATGAGTTTTCCATTCTATGAACCCGATTGGTCTGATCTTCATTTAGACGCTTGATGTAGTCCTCATAGAATGTTTTAAGTCTTTGATATCTATTATCACACTCAGCCTTCACGAGCTGGAGCGTCATCTGGTTTGTTTTCTCCGACTGTGTGAGAACCATCTGCATCTTCTCGTCCACCCTCTGTAGACGTCTATCGTACCAGTAAGGAACCACCACGATGGTCACCGCCACCACAAACATGACAAAATCGCGGCCGAAGCCATTTCCCTGTCCCTCTGGCATTCTCTATTATATCAATTAAGGGTTCTTCTTATTCTGATACATTTCAGTAACCATCACTTTCGGTTTGGATTTTAAAGAAATCCCTATTGCCTATTTTAAAATATGACTTCACGTAATGGTGTTTTTAAAAAAAGGGTCCATTAATTCTTTGGGTCTTTATATGCTTTGAAATATGTAAGAGTCATCCAGTTAAGTTCGAGTTAAGTTAAATAAATGCAGATCATTATATGATATGTATTCTACTGAAAACACTGATTAGCATACTGTATTAAATTCATTTTCCTACCTGCAATTTATTTACTGAGTATATATGAGGGTTGTTCCAAAATTTCCTAGACTGATCTTATATCTTTTAAAGAAACTAATGTATCTTTATGAAATTTTCTGTGTGGATAAAGCGTGTTCTTGGCAGATAAATTACGAAGTTTTATCATGTTTACATGAAAGCAATTCGAGTAATCAGATTTGAAGTGAAATCGTTCTCTAACACCCGGAGCAATCTGCAACGTCAAAAAAGACAAATGTCAACGGTTCAATTTTTGGAGAAAATACTCAGTATTCCATTTACCATAATCAAATTCCTTAATTAAACAAAACGATTATGATTATTAATATAAAATATCTTAATTACTATGATATGATCAAACATTAAAATATGTTAACAAAGTATATGCATATATATGCAAGTATGAAATGATGATAATTTGAAATCTCTGTATTTCAAAGTTCTTTTCGTCTGTCTTCTCTAATGGAGTTGCACTGTGGTACTCTTGCCCAATTCTTATGCCTGTCTTTTTTTTTAGTTTCCGTTATTTACATACAAAGACAAGTCATTTCAGTCATTCTAAATACTAAGGACCAGGAAAACATTTCCTTTTCTAACATACATTTATGACTTGTACATTTCTGTAGGACTGAAATTCAGGATCAAAACACTTGATCATAATCCAGTGCGTCGCCTTTGCTAACGCCGCCATCATTTTTCAAAAAGTCGGATTTCAACCCGGTGTATATAAATTTTTTTTCTCTTTTTTATTTTTTGCTTGTCAGGTTTTTTTGAAGGTATATTTTTTTTTTAAACTTAGCCCCCCCCCCCACTTTCAATTTGCTTCCGACGCCAATGCCACGTGCTCCAAGCCCTGTTTCTGTCTATCTGTTTGACCCGCCCTGCACGTGTTTTTAGACGGAGGCTTAGCCTCCGCTCTATTGGTACCGCTCATCTGAGGCGGAAGGGAATTTGCGATCGCCATCTAGCGGCAAATCACGTTAACTTTGATTAGCCTGGCCCCCAGGCTCATACTTTCCAAGGCAGGAGTACACGAAGCAAAACAGGGACAGGGAACCAGGCTAAATTTTGATAAACTGGCCTGCCTGTCTGATATATCAGATATGCGCTGTATACAGACAGGTGATCAGTGATGTATTCTGCTGCTGACACGCTTTGGCTGATAAAAACTCTCGCTGACACAGAATTTAAATTGTCGGGGAAACCAAAACAGATTTTCTCTGCATCTGATTTTGATGCAATTCATCTAATTCGGTCACAATATTTTCCAAAAACAATACATAATTCTTTTTTTTTCCTCATGAACCTATAATTATCTGACCTCGCCTGAGGGCTTTTAAATTAGTTTGCGAAGGTATCATAAAAGAAATCTGCATATTGTTTAATTGAAACTGACATATTTTAAATGTTCACTCACTGACTCAGCAGAGAGCTGCGTATTATCTGTTTATAGCACAGGTACAGAATCTCTGCTGCATCTATTTTTAGAATTCCTTATCACATATTTCAGAAGATTTTGCAAACTATTTAGATGGGAAAAACTTGTTTCTATGTTTATATGACCAAAACAGTGGCTTGAATCTTACTTTGTGGTGTAAATTAGAAGTAATATTATGGCTAATCTGTGCAAAAAAAGGATGCATTAAAACACTGTTGCCATGGAATCTGCAATAGTGAAAATTATATGCAAGGAGTTAAATTTATTAGGTTTCCCAAACCTTGGAGAGATATTGAAAAAGTGTCAAAGATGGGTGAACCCTAACAAAAAAATACTATAGTTAACTATAGTTAACTATAGTTTACTATAGTTAACTATAGTAATAACTTTGACACTTTGAAAACTTTGATTTACTATAGTGATAACTTTGACACTTTGAAAAACTTTGACGAAAACTTTGACACTTTGAAAAACTTTGGCGAAAACTTTGACACTTTGAAAAACTTTGGCGAAAACTTTGACACTTTGAAAAACTTTGGCGAAAACTTTGGCGAAAACTTTCGCAGCACAGTTAAGGTGCGCAATGGAAATATCAACTAAATTTTGTATTTAAAAATGTATTCGTAATCGGGATGGCGATTATTTTTAGTACATTATTTATATCAAATAATTGTAATTATAATTAATAACTACATATCGAGGACGATTGTATTTTATATTTAGACTAGTCACGTGATGCGGCAGTCACGCGATTTTAGCACATTGACTTGAAGTATTGATGTTACATATAAATGTCACTAGTGCAAGGGCATAACCAAGATAAATTTCCAAGTTTAGTATATAAATATTTTCAACACGCATTATAGTTTCTAAAAAGTGCTGCGATCCTGTCTAAATTCTGCAATCTTATTGTTAAAATTATACTTGTATGACCGAATGCTATATTTTTTGCTGGTCAGCGGCATGAAATATTGATATAATTAAATTGTTTTTAAGATTTCATCAGGATCGCAGCACTTTTCAGATACCTGAATAGTTCTATAGTTGAAATATAAAAGCTTACTTTGATCCATAGAGTGTATGCCCTTGCACTAATCGATCACATTACCCTCCGATGTACTTGCATACAAATATACGGCAGTGTCAATTAAATACGTAATGTACAGAAAATATATTAATAAAATAGTGAAGAAGACGTTAAATTCAAGTTATTGCCCCATAGAATATCTGTAAATAATATTTTATTTAATTAGAGAATGCATATTTTGTTGAGAAAATATTACTTAATCTGTCTCTCACTTCATACAAACTACGTCACGTTGTAAGAAATGACGTCATATTGACAAGGGTATTGCGATCAGTGACTTGTTTATAACTTGTTATGCGGGATTTAACTAACGACAAAACAACACGCTGTGGTAAGTTTTTATGTAGTTTGATGATTTCTTACTGGTTAAATTAGCAGATAAACTCATTTTGTGGTATTTTAAAGAAATGTTGTATGACGTATATTGTGTATGATGTCATAGTCAAGTTTTCCCGTACAAATTAGGCTCCGCCTCCTTTTTGTAACCTTAACTGTGCTGCGTTGACACTTTGTAAAACTTTGGCGAAAACTTTGATACTTTGAAAAACTTTGGCGAAAACTTTGACACTTTGAAAAACTTTGGCGAAAACTTTGACACTTTGAAAAACTTTGGCGAAAACTTTGACACTTTGAAAAACTTTGACGAAAACTATGACACTTTGAAAAACTTTGACGAAAACTTTTACACTTTGAAAAACTTTATTGAAAACTTTGACACTTTAAAAAACTTTATCGAAAACTTTGATATTTTGAAAAACTTTATCGAAAATTTGGATACTTCGAAAAAACTTTATCGAAAAGTTGGATACTTCAAAAAACTTTATCGAAAACTTGGATGCTTTAAAACTTTGAAAAAGTTTATTGAAAACTTTGACACTTTAAAAAACTTTATCGAAAACTTTGTCACTTTGAAAAACATAATCGAAGTTTTTGATACTTTGTAAAACTTTATCGAAAAGTTTGATACTTTGAAAAACTTTATCTAAAACTTTGACACTTTGAAAAGCTTTGGCAAAAACTTTGACACTTTGAAAAACTTTGGCAAAAACTTTGACACTTTGAAAAACTTTGGCGAAAACTTTGACACTTTGAAAAACTTTGACGAAAACTTTTTACACTTTGAAAAACTTTGGCGAAAACTTTGACACTTTGAAAAACTTTGGCGAAAACTTTGACACTTTGAAAAACTTTGGCGAAAACTTTGACACTTTGAAAAACTTTGACGAAAACTCTGACACTTTGAAAAACTTTGGCGAAAACTTTGACACTTTGAAAAACTTTGGCAAAAACTTTGACACTTTGAAAAACTTTGGCGAAAACTTTGACACTTTGAAAAACTTTGGTGAAAACTTTGACACTTTGAAAAACTTTGACGAAAACTTTGACACTTTGATTTACTATAGTTAACTATAGTAAACTATAGTTAACTATAGTTAACTATAGTTAACTATAGTATTTTTTTGTTAGGGAATGCTTGTAAGCGGTTCATTGGTGGATCCAAAGGAGGGTATGTTCCGGGTTTGGAAGCCCCCTTTATTTTTTGTCAAGTGGAGAGAGAGAGAGAAAGAGAGAGAAAAAACATTTTCCGAGAATAAATTAAAATACATGTATTTGTACGTCTAACTTATGTATTAAATAGATAGATTCTCACACATTAAGTTTCTTCCACTCACTATTCCTTTTATATGAAAGAATATAGAGTATACAGTACAACCCTGGAACTCCCCTTTCAAAAATGGCTGGATCCACCTCTGAAACGGGAAGGATTTTCCACGAAATTGGGTATTATCCGTAAAATCACATATAATACTGGATATTGGAGTTTTATGAAGAGACTTACTTTTACATTTGACAGCTGACTTTTACATTTTAGTGACTGGAGTTTGTCAATGTTTAAATTGTAAAAGTCAGTCAATTATAAAAGTAAGTCTCTTCATAAAACTCCATTAGGGTATCGTTGAATCCATGAGATCTAGTATTAAGGCGTTGTAATCACTTTATTAAACTTAAACAATGGGATGGCACATTTTGCGGTTCGTGTCAACTTTCACCTGGATGCAAATGTTTTCTTAAGGTATCACCAGTCAAGTAAGAATTTGGAAGTCAGGATTAATGCACACTGGAAAATAAAAGCTATAGAGCTTATGACATTTCATGAACCAAACAGGCGTTTATTCTGCTTAATATTTTTCATAATTTTGGAAATATTTGCATCCTCTTCATGTTCATTACCCAACACA